TGTGTGCTAAGCTCCTGCTCTACACTGTCTTAACAATGGTCCCACTGCTTGATCAAAATGCCTGGCACGCCCACGTTGGAGGAGGAAAGGTTCATTTTGACTCACAGTTTGTTGAGGTGGCTCCAAGGGAGGGCAGCATGGCAGAGGGTACTGGCAGAGAGGAACAGTCCATGGCAGGGCAGTCAGGAAGCTGCGGCTTCCTCTTCCTTTCCATTTTTATTCTAGCTAAGCTTTAAGCCTATTGGTTGATGCATCCTACACCCAGGGTGGGGTCTCTTTCTTCAGTGAGTTTACCATTACACCCAGAACTATGCTAAGCCAACCCAGAGGACTAATCTAGCACCTCACATCCATGGTCCAGTCACTCCCCAAAACCTCACCGAGGAACACATAATGGTGAGCCAAAAATAAACCTGTCCTCCTTTAACCTGTGAGTGCCAGGTGTCCTGTCATAGCCAGGGAAAGTAGCTAAGAACACTTTCCTAGCATGCACAAGGTCATGGGTTTCATCCCCAGCACCACAAAAAAGAAACAAAGAAAGAATTCTTTGCATTTCTTTATGTTATAACAACCACTAGTTCCATCCTCACCCAAAATGTGGAGAATTTTATCCAGCGGAATCCCTGAAGATCCACTTCAGTGAAACAGATCCTGCTCAGGAAGCAGATGTGGTTTTGGGGAGAGGTAGGGAAGGGAGGAAGAGAGCTTTTATTAGGACTCCCTCTCCTAAAGGAGTCATGAAGCAAACTGTTCTCTTAGCTTTCAGAATGCTCCCCAGAATAAACCCAATGCAATTCATTTTGTCTCCCAATTGTGTGTGTGTGTGGGCTCTTGGAAGTCCATTTCAGTGTAGAGATTAAATCTTTTTCGTGCTCAAGAAGACTTTAAAAACTATATGCTCTCTTTCCATGGTGGAAAAACGATATCTTTTCCTCCCTCTTGTCATATCATTTGATTGTGTGTTCAGCTGTCCTTCTTTCATTTCCTGTCACATAAAATAGAGACTGCTGATCATGTCTATGCACTGTGGCCTGGTGTGCTGCCACGAGGCCGTGTGCTTTTCCTCTCCCTATCTCTCTGACCAGGATTGCACAGACAGTGTGACAGGGCTAAGCTCTTTGCAATGTCACCTTCAGTGCCAGGGTTTGTCTTCGGCTGAGCAGGTTCAGGGTGACTAGAACTGAGGGCCTTCCCGGTCCCTTTCTCTTTCTCTGGTATCTGTAGGTGACCTCTCTACCTGGTGGTCTGGGAGTGGCACCTTCTCCCAGGCCTGAGGGAGAAGGCAGGAGCTAAGGGAAGCTGGCTGAGTTGCCGTCTGCTCTGAAAGACTTTGGATCTTCTCAGCATCACATCTCCCACACTGGGGTATTGAGAGGATCCTTAGCGAGCCCAGGAAGTGATGGTGACACAAAGAAATTGGGGCAGACTTTCAAATCCTCATAGGAGGAACCCTGGCCACTAAGGATGCACATTCTTCCTCTGTGAAAATGACAGGTCCCCACCCCAAGCCCCCGGGGGTCCTTTGCAACCTGCAGGTGCAGCTTCTTGGTGTGGTTGTGAAGTCCAGGTCCCTTTGTCTGAGGACCTGGGGCAGAAGAGAGAGACAAGCTCCATCCCTCTCTCATCTTCTGTAGCGTGGATGAGCACTCCAGACGGCCTCCTGGGGAAGGGAGAGGACGAGGGTATCCGTCTCGTCTGTGTCACCATGGAACCCATCAGATGCTCCCTGGGCACCTGGGCCAGGCCCACCAGGGCCACTGTGCAGAAACACTGCTTCATGGCTCCCGGCCCCATCCTCCAAGTGTGGAACCATTCTTTGTTTCCATAAGGGATGATGGGCTTTTGATTCTGGATAGTTTTTCAGCCTGATTCCTACCTACCCTGTAGCAAACCACAACTTAGTGGTTAATACAACACCAGTTTCCCATCGTACCATCTTTGTGAGTCTGGAGTCCAGGCCTGTTGTAGCTGCATTCTCTGTTCTGGGTATCCCAAGGCCAAAGTCAAGCTCTTGGCCAGGGCCAGTTCTCACCTGGGGTCAGGATCCTTTCCCGAGGACTCTGGTTGCTGGTACAATTCATTTGAATGTTTTCCTACAAGTTCACAGTGGCTAGAGGCCACCAGGTGGCTTGAGGGTGGTTCACTGTGAGGATGCCTGCTTTTTCTACCATAGTTAGGGAGAACTTGATTTTAAGCAACTCATTAATTGGATAAGGTTCACGTAGATAACCTCCCTGCCATATGATGAGTTGGTTCAGGCCCCTAATCACAACTGCAGATTTCCCTCACGCTGCAGCCGGGTTAGTGTCGGGCTGCAGAGCTGGAGGTAGAGTATGTTGTGTACTTGGCTATCATCTTAGAATTCTGCCCACCATAATGCCAGTGGAAATTTGGGGTCTAAAACCTTCTGTTCCATGTATGTTATTTTTCTCTTGTCATATTACCATAGGTTAGTTGTGATTCCACAAGTAATTATCTTATAAATCTTGTGTGTGTTCCAGAAGATTAGGGCATATTCCATTTGGAGATGTCTCACCATAAATCTAGTTGTTGTGAACCTTTCTGTTCTTTGGACTTCGGTATGATGATAGGTGTCATGGATTAAAAACTGATGGCCAACTTAACGCCAGTGGAATTAAATCAGCAGGACGCTGAGTGGAGATGCTCCACCTGAGGAAAGTTGCCAGCATAAACAGAGATGTGGAGGAAGAAAAGTTAGGCATTGAGGCATTGAAGCATTGTGGGTTCTCCTTCAAGTTGCTGTTTGAGCCATTAGTTCTCCTGGAGCAGCTCTGGTCCTTACATTGAGCAGTGCTTCCTGGCTTCAGAGGGGAAGACATGTGCTGCTTGGTCTCCAGGATGAACTTGTCACGTTGGCTTCCTGGCATGTATTTGACTGTGCTTATCATCAGAGGAGCTCGGAACCTCTGTGTTGCTGAGGATGGCTGTTGTGCTGGTCTTTGTCGTGTGACTTCTCAGCTCCAGCATAGAACCCTCAACCTACCAGCACAGCTCCTTCACTCCACTGGCATAGACTTTCTAGCTTCCACCACTGATCTTTGGGCCTTCCTAGCACGGATCTGTAAAAGAGACCTGCGTGTGTCCTTTTTGTGGGCTGTACACCTCCATTTGGGTTTGTGGGAGGCATTGTTATGAGCTCTGGATATTCATTAAGACCCATGTGGGACACTGCTGTGCGATTCAGGCCCTTGGCTAAATATTTTGTCTTTAGTGTTGTAGATAGATTTCCTGCAGTTTCTTGTGTTAACTCTGGGTGACCATCATAAAACAATATTATAAACCCCATGTCCTGATTCTAATTGTTCTCTGTACAACCCCTGATTACAACAATAAGAGACCTAGTTGTTGATGTTTCTTAGAAATCCTAGTTTTAACAGGCAGAATCCAAGAAGCCTAGAATCTAGACACTCAGTTATTTTATTTCAATAAAAAGATTGGTGAGGCACCAATTTAGATCTTTCTGAGGACTTAACAAATGGTTTTACAAACCTACCTTTGACGTTTGGTGTGAAATTTTTTGTTAGCAATAGACTTGACATCTTCACATAGTAAGAATGGTGGATTTTATTTTCTACTACTGATGGCTTCCTCTTCCCTGTAAGTTTTGCATGGAGATGAAGCGGTCTTTTTTTCACTCACCTGCTGATACCTCCTTGCCACGCACAATGAAAAATATGCCAGTTGTCACTTTCAGCAAATCTCTCACATTTCTCCTGAGTTCGCTCTTTTCTCTGTCACTCTAGTGACCATGTTGCCACTTTCCCCTTCCATAGAAAAGCACTCCCTTCCTTTCCCTCCAGCTTCCAACTCTCACTCATTCCTACGCTCTGCAAGGCCCCTGCCAACCTTGTCCTGTCACCTGGTCACTGGGCCACCACCTCTTCTTGTGCTTTTTCAGTAGCTCTCTGCTTCCTGGCATCTGGAATCCAGATCTACTCTGCTACTTAGGGCCTGTGGTAGAGTCTCTGATCCAGGTCTTGAGACACCTTGCCTGAAATCTGGGGGTAGACGTGCTTAGCTGGTCTCCTGTTTTTGGGTCATATGTGGCTGGGGTCATCTGTAAGTCATCCTTGCTCCTGGGTTGGTGGAACACATGACACATTGGGGGTTGGAACCCGAGGGGTCCTTTGGGGATCTCTGTCTCTCTCTCAGGGTGACCACTCCCTATGGTCATTTTGCACCACAGTCTTGGCTTGGCTATAGTTAACCTGCAGCCGTGCGCTCCCAGAGTGTCTCCAGGGGGGCTGCTTTCTGGCCTCTCACTTTGCTTATTTAGCTTTGAAATTTGTCATCTTCACAGCAAACAACACTTAATTTAGCTGATTTTTATTATTTGCTCCACGTCATTTATTTTTCTTAAACAAATATGTAAGGAATCTCTCTATGTCAGCCATTGGTTGAACATTTTTATTTGTCCTTTTCAATTTCAATATTTATAAATATTGAGGATTTTAATTAAAAGCTGTAGATAGTGCAAGGTATGATAAAAAATATAGTGATGACCCAGCTATTGCCCTTCTGGGCATATTCCCAGGAGAATTGAAAACATCATATCACAGTAATATATGTGCACCCATGTTTATAGCAGCACAATTTATAATAACTAAATCTTGGAAACAATCCAAGTACCTATCAACTGAGGAATGGATAAAAAAGGTGTGATATTTTTATGCAATGGAGTACTACTCAGCTATAAAGTAGGGTCACACTTGTTGGGCGCAGGCGCTCAACATACCATACCCCACCCGGGACTAAGGACCACGCCAGCTTCCGCAATGCGCTACGTCCCTCTTTAAATTAGCCAACCCGTGCGCACTTCGTGCTCACTCCGTACTCTGTGGCAACTCCTGATTGGCCACAACTGGATATAGTAGCCAGGGCCTGCGTCCCATTCCCGCCCTGCTTCCTCGTGGCAGCCTGTGATTGGTCACAGCCAAATATATAAACCAGAGCCCGCGTGAATAAAGAAGCAGTTAACTGTCGCCCACAAGAGCGTCTCCTGTCTCAGTGGGGGGCTGCGCCGGTCACACACTGAGGCTTTTATAGGTAAATGGATGTAAGTAGAGACTGTACTCTTAAGTGAAATAAATCAGATTTGCATGTGTAAACATCATATTGTCTCTAGTGTAAGAAATTGAAAGAGTAAATAAGACCCAAAAGGTACAATTATAGATCTTGTGAAGGTAAAAGGGGAAGAAACAGCTCAAAAGGAAAGAACAACTGAAGAAAAGAAGGAAGTGAATATATACACAAATATATGACAGCAAAATTAATTGTACTATTCATGCTGTTAGTTTACTGAAAAGAACTGTTAGTGCTTATATTGTCTGATCAATTTTGCATGCCTATAGCTAAGCAACTAACCATTCTGAAGACAATATGCAATATAATAACCATTGTTAGTGTCCTATCATCTTGTTTTAGAATTCTGTATCATTTTTATTTTTTAAATTCTCTTTAAAATAAAAAAAATGCAATGAATGCTTTACTTAAAGTATTTTACAACATAGACAAATTCCCATTAATCTCATTTGTTCTCCTTCCTTTCAGACATGCTTATCTCATTGTTCTTGCATTTTCTGCAACAGCTCTGAAATCCTCTTTCATAAGTGTCTTTAGTTGCACTGCCTTTGCTACCTCAATGTCCAAAACTGTCTCATGATATTTCTTTCACATCATTTTGACTTTGGAGAAGAGCCAGAAGCTTCACAGTACCAGATCCAGTGAAATTATTTCTTTCTGTGTTGTGTCTAAGAAAACTAGAACACATGATAATGTTTTATTCACTAGCATCTTCCCAAGTTTTTAAAATCCAATTTGTCTCAATTATCTGTATCAATTCCTTGGCCTATGAATATAGTTATGATCGTGCGTACAAATATCCCCATTTTGTTATGATTTGTGATTACTGTATTTTGTTTAGCCCCACCAGCCTTCCTGGATTTTAATTCTCAGTCCCTTAGCCTATAACTCAGAAATGGCACCCATGCAATCTTCAGTGCCTATGAAATGATCTCACTTACCTGCGAGCCAAGCTGGGCTCTATTTATGACTGAAAGTAATCAGCTTGATTGTTCTTTGCTCCAGCTGTTCCTCACTTTAGGTTCCCTTACCCAGTTGCTGGAGGGGACCTTTGCCTTGACTGTTCACATTAGTGCAAAAGTTTGCTTAGAACAGGAGGGAGAGGGACCCCAGGGCACTGGCGGGGAGCTATGCCATCCCTTCCTTCCCGCCCTTTTGTCTTTGAACCCACCATTTTATCACCTCTGTCCTTATAAATAATTCTAGGAAGTGCTTCTGACAGTAGATGCCTCTCAGCTCCTATGAGGAGAAAACTCCTTGTATGTCATGACTGTGTTTAGTTTTGCCCACGCTCAAGGGGTAAGAGCAGAAGCCTGTTGATAGGGCTTGCGTCCTCAAATATGGGAATTTTAGAAAAGCATTTGATAATTCCATAGGCACTAAGAATTACTTATTTTTAAGAATGTTTATGTCCACCTCTTACTTCAGTAGAGTTTGTAAGATAAAGTACTGTTTCAAGAAAGAATAATGATATCTTTATCAGCATGGCCCACAACGTTGTTTAAGGACTTCATCGCCTGTGTTTATCACGAAGGGAGAGTTCTTATCCTGCTGTACCATGGAAGAGACAGAGCCCTGGGCAGGGCAGGGGACTTGTGCCAAGTGTCAGAGCAAGTGGACAGCAGGAACTCATCCCCATCAGTGCTGTCCCTAAAGCCAGGCTTGTTCTCCCTGTCCCTCAACAGAGAGACCACTTTTCCACTTCATAACAAAACAAACAAATAAATAAAAATCCTCTTTTTCCACCTCTGGATACAGATGACAGTGATATTTTGTCCAAGAATCTTGAGCAATCGTAACTGACTCTCTTTTCCCCTTCCATCCTGGAGCTAAACCATGACTTAGTATCACAAACTGGTCACTGCTCTTGCCAAAGTATTTCATCACCTCCTGGCGTCCATGATATCTGATATGCTTATCCGGGATGACGGATGGCTTGGTTCTTAATAAGTGGGCTAGTTAAGCAGAGAAGTTAATGACAGGAGATTTTTCTTTGGCTCCAGGGCTTGGCATGTACAGACAGGACCCTGCATGAGTTCCCCAGCATGTGACGATAAGATGCTTCCATTCTGCCAGCAGAAAGCAACCTCATTAATTAAAAACACATTGCGTGTTATCACAAATGGCTGATTCTTTTCTCTAGGAAGAATTGCCCTTTGGCATTTATGATGAGCATGAAGAAGAACAGATAATGCAATTACAGGCATGACTTTATCTCAATTTAGCACAGCAAATATTTAGGATTAGGATTAAGACTCCAGAAGAGACAGCCTTCAGATCATTCTGCAAAGGAAATAGTTGGGATTGTTGTCTGCATGTTGTTTGGGCTGCCTCTGGGAGGTCAGTATGTGCTCAACCCTGCTGGGTATCTGGGCTCAGACAGGACAGGACCCTCCAATTTAAAGAATGCATTTGCATTTGGTATTTTACCCATCTGTGCTTTGCAAAGTAAACAACAAATGGACCAATAAAATGTTTACAAAACTGGGTAAAGCCTACCAAAGTCAAGTTCTTTTTTCGATACAGATGGCTGTTATCTGCAGCCAGAAGACCAGGGCCTTGAGGATGTCCGAGTTCTATCAAATGGCATTGAGACAGTGTGATTTGTAGAACCAGTACTGATCTGAGGCCCAACCATGGAGTATCTCAATGTAGATTTTGTCTACCCAGTGTAGCTATTTCCAAAACTCCATCAAATACTTTTGTGCTATTTACTTTAATTGCATGCTAACTTTCTTTAATTATTGATGTACTTAATTTGCAGTACCAAGGGTGGAATCCAGGGGCACAGTCCTAGTGAGTGTCACTGCTACGCCTTTTAATGCTCTGAGATGGGGTCTCCCTAGGCTGGCTATGATCTTGTCATCCTCCAGCTTTGGGCTCCTGAGTGCTGTAGCTGGGATTATGGGCTTGAACCACTACGCTTGGCCCAGGGCTATCATTTTGCAAAATCTATGTTGAACTAGAGGAGCTACAATTTATAGGAAGCTGAGTGAGAACTTGCTTTACCTCTGTAGTAACATATTAAGTCTTTTTCTGTTTGGAAATACTTCTCTTGACCAACTTTTCTTATTTCCCCACTAATCATCCCCCTATAAAGTCTGAAACCTACTGTTGAGAAAATTTCCCTAATCTCTCCTATCTCTAGGACCTCTTAACTCCAGGTGACCACAATTAGCCCACAATCTAGTATCATGTACAATGGAACAGGCCATCCTTCTGTGTGTCCCCTATGCTTATGCAAAGGCTGCCACATGTCCAGCCAGAGCTTTTGGGGATAATTACATTTATAAGATGATGGTAGAGAACCCTGCTGTGGCTTTTCTCTCATGGACTGACGCCCTTTTCAATAATTTCCCTTTGCAAGTGTCTGGTGATTGGAAGGCCCAGGAGCAAATGCTTTTGGTTTATTAATGATGAGTCTAATTAACTTCATCTCATTCATAAGTCCACTTAAAATCCTTAGAAGTATGACTTTGTAATCCTTTGTATTGTGTGTGTGGCCTTGCTGTGCAGTCACTCTTAATTGGTGAGCCTGTCTTTATGTCCCCCTGTTGTCACTACTGAGTGGATGTCCGTGTAGACAGAACCGTCCTGAATCTGGACTCACTGGGTGCAAGCTGAGATAAGAAAAGTACTTTTAAGTGACTCTGCTTGAAAAGCAACAATAATAAAATGGGATATTTGTAATAGGTATATCCTACACTGGGATCCTTCCATTTTTCTTTCCGTATTTTGATCCACATAAACAAACTGGATGTGAAATAACATTGTTAAATTGTTTAACCATTACTCTAAATATGGAAATTCTGGGAAAATTTCAGCCTAATTGAATTGTTCCCATTACACTTACATAACAAAAAAAATATTATACTGACTCTTGTTCCATCAGATGTCTTGTGTCGGTACCACATAAAGCCAGTTAAGATCGAAGTGGAGGAGCAGGGTGGAATGGTGACATTTACTTTTGTGCACAGGAAGATGTTATCAGCAGTGTTGGCTGGCTGTAGATTTGTGTTTTCTCCTCTCACTCACTGAGCACAATCTCCATCTACCAGGTAAGAGGACAGGTAAGGCTGCACTCTTTCCTTCTCCTTGGCTTTCACGATGATGCTACACAAGCTTCCCACTTCCAAATCATGCTATATGACTCAACTTCCCGGCTTTGACAACATGTTTGCCTATTCCACATCTACCCTTTGGTTGTGATGCTCTCACCACTCTCCTAGATTGATACCAATACCTCCTGCTGATGCTGGACCCCTTACTCCTGTAACTGACCTCACAGAGAGGCACATCTCTATTCGTGTGTAGGCTCAGGGCAGATTCCTTTCTGTGTCAGCATCAGCTGTGGACATACACGTTGACCTCTCTGTCTTGTGGGTCCTTAAAGGGTCGCTTCTGTGCTTGAGTTTCTTGTATGTTCTGCTTCATCCAGTGCATAACCATGTTGAGTTTCTGGGTTAGCACTGAATCTCACTGATCCAGCTCTAGGCCCAGTAGAATGTCCTGCCTGGCATCTTCCTGGCCCTGTCCTGGCTTTGGGGAAGGCAGACATAGAATCAGACACCTGTAGTCATTACAATAAGATGAGATGAGTTCGGTGATCAATTATTCTTTCTTATCGGTTTTTGTTTGGGTAGAACTTTACAAAAACTCATTGTAATGCATTTCTCTGTTTCTTATTCCTCCCTCATTGTGTTTCTAAACTAAGAAAATCTTTCTCATTTGAGTTTCAATCTTTGTAGGTCTTCTCTAAACTACTGTTACATAGGAGAACCCCAGGTATAGTGAGAAAGATACTTAAACAATCTGTGTCTTAGTAAGATAATATGTGAAATAGAAACACTAATAATACTGAGCTCATAAACTTGGTGTGAGGAATGGTTGTTTCAAAGAGCAAAAACTTTATGCAGGAAATCACTTAAATAAACTCCATTTTTTCCCCAAGAGAGTGGGAAAATTCCCCAGGAATAGGATAATAACTTATCCTTATTTTAGAAATTCTAGACTATTTCTTTTTTTGTTTGTTTGTTTGTTTTTTCATTTTTATCGGTACCAGGGATCGAACTCACGACTGCCTGCTTTCAAAGCAGGCGCTTATGCCGCTGAGCTAAATCCCCAGCCCTAAATTCTAGACTATTTCTGCACATACAAATTCTCACCTGCTTTCAGGGGTAAGAGCAAAATATTGTTTTGGGTGGGTGGCAGAGGATAAATACAAAAATTCATATTTGTAAATAATTTGACTTCACTATTTATGTGGCATGTGTCTTTGAGGTAGAAGTTTTATACATCTTGTCATTAACAGAATTCACTCAGCTCTTGATGGACATAGACACTGCTTTCAAGATTTAACTATTGTGAATTGAGAAGCTATAAATAAGAGTACTCACAGATCACTGTAATATGTTATCTTATTTAAATGAAGTACTACTCTGTTATAAAATGGACAAATTTGAGTCATTTGTAGGAAAATGGATGCAGTCTGGGACCATAAAGTTAAGTGAAATAAATCAGACATGGAAGCTTAAATATTGCATGGTTGCTTTTATATGAGAAACCCAAAGTATAAATAAAGAGCAAAATAATGGAAAAAACAGAACAAAATAATAGAAACAGGGAGGTAGATTTCTGTAAACAGGAAAAAGACCAAGAGATAAACAAAGGAGAGAAAGGGGAGAGAATATAAAAAATGAATTAAGATGTATTATGTAATGTACATGTAATGGACTCCTAATGATAAATGTAGTCTTTATGTACTGCAAATATTAAGAAAAATAGAAAATTACCTACTCCATATGGTTTTTGGAAAAATTAGTGAATCTAAATTTACCTTTTGGGCCTTTATTAATTCAAAAGTGTAGCTATTAAAAGCCTGATATATACCAATAATAGTGTAGATACTGAATTTACAGGGTTAGATGCCAAGGAATGTAACCTCTTCCTTGGCCAGAGTATCTTCAATAGAAGGCCAACAGTGAAAAATGGGGAGACAAAGAAGCCATAAAGTGAGTGAAATGGTCCAGTGGAAGACAGGGAGGGGTGTCAGAGAGCACAGCCTGTGGGCATGTGTTGGGGGAGGAGCACATAGGCGGAGACCAGCGCACATGCAGTATGTAGTGCAAAAAGTGGTCTCAGGAAGACCATTTGACAAAAACTACTTCTCTGGCCTCTGCCTTCTGTTCCTGATGCAGAGTTTCTAAACTCCTCCAGGTTCCCTGAGTGATTGGAGTAATGGAAACATCTTTTATTGTATTGTTCTTGGTCCCTAGAGCTTCCAGGCTTCTTGGAATCTCCAAGGCCATTGTGTCACTTTGGAGGTCACCAAGGTGTCTGGTGGCTGGAAGGCATTAAGTGGCTGTGGTTGACAGAGGAATTGAACATGAGGGCAGAGGGATAGAGTTTTCAGCCCTACTCCCTGGCTTCTAGAGAGGATGACCTGGATACAATTCAGTCACCAGCAGCTCATGAATGAATTAGTCCTGCTGCCATAATGGAGCTGCCATGAAAGCCTAATGGAAGGGTTGGAAGAGCTTCCAGGCCAGTGAACGTGTGGGTATGTTGGGAGGTTGGAGAGCTCAGAGAAGGCATAGGTGCCTCTGTCCCTTCCTATATTTGGTCTCCTTGTGTGTCTTCGATTTGGTCATTCCTCAGTTGTATTCTTTATAATAAGCCAGTCATGGCAAGTGACATAGTTCTGCGAGTTCTGTGAGCTGTTTCAGTGAATTATGGAAAATACTTCACTGGGAATCCACTATCTGGCTAAATGGGACAAAATGTCAGGTAACTTGGGGACCAGTACTTGCCCCTGGGACATGCAGGGAGAGAGAGTCTTGTTGGACTGAGCCATTGGCCTGTAGTGTCTTACTGAGTATTCAGTGTCAGAATTGAGTTAAAACATGTGTGACATTGAGTTGGTGTCCACAAAAAACTGAGAAAATTGCATAGTGTGGAAACCCTATGCATTTCATAGCAGAAATGTTTTTAGGGTAAATGATGATCTTGTTTTCCTTTTAGCCATACAGGAACAGTCAGGATGATGTTCCTTGGCCCACTGGGACCTGACTAAAAAGCAGCAGATGAGACAGGTGAGATGTGTGAGATGGAGAGAGAGTTGGGGAAGTGGTAGTGACTGTTGGGCCCACATGGCTTGAGCTCCCTCGTCCCAGTGAGTATATCAGAGTTTATTCTAGGAGCTTTAAAGGTGTCTGGCTCACATTTTAAAAGAGATAACAGATGTGCAGAGCAGAACATGAGAGGGCAGGAATAGAAGCAGGAGACTGACAGGGAAGTCAAAGTGCAGTCCAGGTGAGAGAGACAGGAACACCACGAAGGGGCCCGAAGAGGCAGGCTGGGCTGTCTTTTGAAAGATATCTTCATGTCTTGAATTCTGTAGCCAGAGATAGAGTGGTATCATGTATGACTGCAAAGCTCAGCCAGAACTGGGAAATTGTGACAAAATCATTAACAATAAAAAGCAAAATAAGTTATAATTATTAATAGAGTTAAAGAGCTATTGAAACTCACGTATGTGTATTAGTTTGATTAATCATTGGAAAGAAACTAGAAGTTAGTTTGCTACAGCAAATAGAAACACTGCAATGACACCCAGGATTTGGAAGCAGATTTATTTTACATCCACAGGCATTGATTGGAATCACTCCCAAAATATCAGGATCCAATCTCTGGTGGCCTAGGGCTTTTATATGATGCACAAGCAAGAGGTGCAAAAGCAGGACAGAACAGCCCGGGAGATCTCTTCTGATCAGCTAGCAGAGAGAGAGATCATCGGTTACAAGGCTGGATTAATGGTCATGAAGCTTGGTGCAATCAGGCCTCCTGCATGCTTGCTTACACTCTCATGGTTACAGGGTCAAGAAAGTAATTACAAAATCACGAAGCAGTTACAGAGCTAGGTAGTTTTAAAAGAACAAAATTTTAAAAAGAACAATTTCTCATACAGAATTTCCCTTTCATGTCACTGTTATTATTTTCCCATTTTATAGAAGCATTAACATAAAGGAGTGAAACAAATTGTCTAAGGTCTTAAGTCCATTCAGCAATATATAATATTCAACCCAGAATCTGGGTGCAGCATGTCGGATTTTAACCGTCATGATCCAGTATCTTCTCTTCAGGAAGGATAAACTTTGCATTCGGTCTTCAAGGAAAGTGTACTGCCATTCTGGGCTACAAACCTAATCCCCTCTTCCAGGAAAACATAACTTATGGATGCACCCTCAAGTTTTCTCCATGAAACTCTGTGAGTTCCTTTGATTGCAATCTTTCAGCTTCTTGTGTATAAATGGCTTATGCAAAGCTCTTCCTGTATTGAAGTTTGAGCTTTTTGTTGTTGTTTGGTTTTGTTTAAGAAAATTCAGTGTCATGTTCAGCACTATTTTTACTTTATTGATTTGTTTTTATGGCCATCTACCTTTTGCTGGCGTGCACCACATTGCTTAATTTCGGGCCAGGACTCAGTAACTAGAGTAAGAATGCAGTGCATGATGTTAAATTGTGATTTATTAACATTTGATGCTAAACCTACAACAGTGATGAGAGAACATTTTAGCATTAAATACTTAGAATGGGAGAGTCTAGAATCAATGAATTATGCTTCCATTTTAAAGAATTAGAAAAAGAAAGTATAGAAAAAGTGAAAGCAAGCAAAAGGGACATGACAGAACGGAAACAGTGAAACTGTGAAGGTATGGCTGTGAACTGGGGATGTTATGGACCCTCCGGGTAACCTGAACCGTCCCTCCCACGTGACCCCAGGAGCCCCTCCTGCAGGAGGTGGGACCAGGAGGGAGGGAAATGGGAGGAGAAGAGGCTGCCTCACTCTCTGCCTCAGGGGTCCAGGAGAGAGGCACAAGAGGGCTCTCTGTCAGGCTGCTCTCAGCTGTAAACAGAGCAGCAAGGATCGAGTTTCTGTCGTTGGCCTGCCACACCATCCATGGTACTTCGACATACTGGCTTGGGCTGGCTAAGGCACACAGAGAATAACCAGACCAGACCAGACCAGACCAGACCAACCAACCCACAAACAACCAAA